TGATTAGTTCCGGAGATATTCAATTTTTAGTGTAAAATGATTATGTGGAATATCTCAAAATTGACTTGACCGAATTCATTTTTTTTTATATGAAAATTTTTGTCTCGATGTCCCCTGTCATTATCAATTAAAATATATAGAATCGCCCATACAAACTTTTCGAGATATTTAGATTTTTGCGTTTTTCAGTTCAAATTGTCGTACGCATTCTCACCCTCGCAAAAATTGAGCTATTAACTTCAAATTTGGACGAGATTGTCCTTTTATCACTGCAACGGATGGTATTGAAAATGAGCATGATTGACTGATTAGTTCCGGAGATATTCAATTTTTAGTGTAAAATGATTATGTGGAATATTTCAAAATTGACTTGACCGAATTCATTTTTTTTTATATGAAAATTTTTGTCTCGATGTCCCTTGTCATTATCAATTAAAATATATATAGTTGCCCATACAAACTTTTTGAGATATTTAGATTTTTTCATTTTTCAGTTCAAATTGTTGTACGCATTTTTTTAAATTCCATTCTTTTCGTCATGCTTGGCACTATTGAAATTAATCAAAAACTGGAAAATGCATCCTGTAAGTAATCATAGTTATATGACACTTTTATGTTATTGAAAAAAAAAATGTTGTTCGCTCTTTCATCCGCACAAAAGTCAAGCTATTAAGACTGCAAATTTCGACGAAATCGTCCGTTTATCCCTACAACGGATAGTATGAAAAATGAGCTTAATTGAACAATTGTTTTTATAGATATTCAAATTTTAGTGTAAAATGATTATATAGCTCAGAATATCGGGATCGAATTCATTTTTTAAATTTGAAAATTTTAGTCTCATAGATGCTTAATTGCTACGACCATTTAACATTCATAATAGATCCAACCTGACGAAGAAAAATATATTGTTAAAATCATTCGGAAGCCCGCCAGCAATTTATTGATGGCAAAAAAATATACCTATACATTTCGCTAAATCCTCCACAATGACATAATTGTTGTCGCCTACTTGTCTTAACTAAAAAATCACCCCTGGCCAGGGGGCACCACGCACAGACATTCTCAAAAACTTTTGTATTTTTACATTTCAGACCATTCTACATCGTTTCCAAGCAAAATTAGAATTTTTTTTTTCCGGTCGGGATCGGACGATTGCAATGCTTCCATTCGGAAGCAAAAATAAGCAATTTTCGCTAACTATACCCTTCAATTAAAGACAATGAATAATTAATCAACGAGATCTCCCCAAATTATGAAACCCTCTCCCTAAAATTCCCCAAATTATTTCCAAATTATTCGATAGGTTAATTAATGATTCGCATTAATTAGTGCGCCAAGTATACGGCGGTCAAAATTTCATGATGTTCCGATTATTTTTGTAATTTTTTCCTACCGTGTAACTTTTTTTGAAAGTTTAGAAGAAACGGAGAAAAATGTACGCATCATTTTGAAACTTGGTGAGTGATTAAATAACGACAAAACGCAAAAACGTTATAATTTTTCAGTAAGTTTAAAATCGAAGAATAAAAACAAAACTTGAATTTTGTCGTAAAGGGGGTAGAACGTCATTTTAAAAAAACGGTGCAGCTGTATGTATAGAAGTAAGTTTTAAGTATGCTTTGAGTCTGCTTTGAGTGGATTGTGGTTGTTGATTAGTTAGGGGGGGGAATAGGATAATTCTCGATCTAATTGTACAAGAAAAATTGGGTGACTGGTAGTTGGCACCACATTATTGAAAATTCATTAGTTTTTTTATTTAGATCAATAGTAGGACCTTTGTACATCATTGTAATACAATTAAAAAATTTTGTAG